CTGCAGCTAAGGCAGGCTCCCTGCCTGCCCTGGCCCCACGCTGCTCCCGGAAGCGGCCAGCTTGCCCTCGTGGCCCTGGGGGATAAGTGAGGGAGCAGAGGTCTCCGTGCGCTGCCCCTCTCTGCAGGCATTGCCCCCGCAGCTCCTACTGGCTGGAAACGGGGAACTGTGGCCAATGGGAGTTGCGGGGGCAATGCCTGTAGAGAGGGGCAGTGTGCAGAGTCCTGTGCCCCCACAGAGGCCACAGGGGTGCGTTGGCCCCTTCCAGGAGTGGCGTGAGGCCAGGACTGCCCAAAGTAAGTGCCACCCCCTTCAATGGGCAGGTTCTGAATAGCTCTTCCACCACCTAACCTGCAGCCTCCCAGGTCAGTCCCCCATAACCCCTGCTGCACCCCCAACCCCTGCCCCAGCCCCAAGCCCCTTCCCAGAGCCAGCCCCCAGTACTTCCTCCTGCACCCCGTTCCCCCTCCTGCATCTAAACACTCTGCCCCAGCCTGGAGTCCCCTCCTGCACCCAAACTCCCTCCCAGAGCTTGCACCCCTCACCCCTTCCTGCACCCCAAGCCCCTGCTCTAGCCCTGAGCCCCCTCCCAGAGCCAGCCCCCCATACCCTTTCCTGCACCCCCAAGCAATATTACCAATTATGGTAATATTACCATATCAACCAAGAACTTAGTGTTCAATCATCTGTGTTGGATTGATGTGGCTCTCACATTGAGGGTTTCTTGCCAAAGTGGCCCCCACTTCAAAAATAGCGAAGAGCACTGCCCTGAGCTGTAGTTTAGTTATCTTATACTTTCATCTGGCATTGAAGGGAGGGTGGTCACAACTGCCCTGCTGCCTGGAACAGAGCAGGGGCATGTAAACTGTAATGCAATTCCTTTCCCTTTGAGGGGAAAGCTGGAGTGTAAGAGGCATCTGCATACAGGTCCCATTAGGACAGGGAGAAGCAGCAAAGTGGCAGGCTCCTGGGTGCAGCAAAATGGAGAATTCTGTGGCTTGTTGGAAAAATGCCACATTCTGTGCTGCAGAACTAGAGTCCACCAGGCCTTGACTGACTTACCGAGCAGTTCAAATCTTAGAGCTATTGTTTCTGGCTGGCTGTGGATTTTAGCCAGGGCATCATTCCCATTCTAAAGCAGTTGACTCTTGGCTTATGGTTTTGCCGTTTTCTCCATGACCCAAAGGGCTAGAAGTGTAATTTAAAGAGATCTGGTAAAGCCCTCTGAAACCTATTGGTGACCCCTGGAGGTCACGACCCTCAGATTGAAAACTATTGGCTAGCCTGTCAATCACCAATCTCCTAAAATATTCTGGGCTATAAGATATCCACGGTCTTACAATTTAGTTTTGTATATGTCCAGACATTATAGATTTTAATGGGCTTTTTAGTACTGTAGAGTTGCTCACCTTTCCAAAATTCATGGGAGGTTCTCAGTTTTCTCAGGTTCTCACTGGCCTTGCCCTCCATCCTGTGAGTCTACGCTGTAAGGCAGGGAGAGTATTGAATTTTGACGTTGCAGCATCATGACGTTCGGTTGTAGTGAAGCACTGACACATGATGACTTTGCATTTCTGCACTGTGATATCCTGTCAGTTTGTGATAACAGTGCTGAAGGAACTGAGAATGCAGTGTCATTGTCATGACAGTTTAGCAATTCTGATTTCATGATGCAGGGTCAGGAATTTGTCCTGCAAATACTTCATTATTCAGGCTTGGCACTTATAACACACATTTCCCCACATGGACCTGAAAGTGCTTTATGAAGGTAGGAAAGCATGATTATCCCCATATTGCCAATGAGGGATATGAAATGCAGATAGGCGTCAATGGGACCTGCAGTTGCTCAAAATATCAATCCTTAAGTGACATAACCAAGATCACTTATCGAATCATTGACGGAGCCAGGAGTAGATCCCATAATGTCTGATGCTGTCCAGTCCCCTGATGTCACCTCCAGACTATAACCTGTACAGCCTAGTATTTATAAAGTTCTTCAGGTTGTTTCATTGACAGGCGTTTCAAAAAATGTTAAGTACTGTTGTTATTGTTAGAGTGTCAAACAACTGCGTAGACCAGGTAAGGAAGAGAGGTAACAGGGTAAGATATTGTTTCCCTGAATAATTTCTCTAGTTTTTTTAAGTCTGGGCGTCTGCCCACAACACAAAACCTCCACTGAACTATTGCACAGTGGATACATTGTGCTCAGGAATAAACATTTTCTTCATTTCAGTCATGCATGTCTGAAAGCCTCTAAGCCTTTTCAGAGAGAATATGAAGAAAACAGACCTTGGTCTAACACACACAGCAGTACGGCCAAATGAACTGAGACTGGCAGCAAAACCAAACCAGAGTCCGACTCAAAATTCACAATAAAGAATCCAGGGAGAAACAATACTAACTGACAAAGGAATGAAACAAAAGTTGCACTCTGCCACGAAACTGCAAATCTCCTCAGCTACGTTAAGGCAGAATAACTTCCCAAATTCCTGAATGTGGGACAGTCAAATGTGCTGATCTGTTGCTACAATTGACATAAAAGCAAACTTGATCATTTAAAACTTGGCTTTATACAGTGTGATTTAGAAGAAAGCAGGATACGCATTGCTTTTGGGTATCTGTTGGATATGGAAGCAAAAACCTTATGGAGTGTTGGAATACGTTATCCACAGCACTGCAGGCAATATGTATGTGGAAAGGAATGTACAAGTCTTTCCCCTTCTGATTTCTGTTCTTATAAGATTTTTGGTGGATGGGGTATGTCCAGCCTTAATAGCCATTAAATGTACTTTTGCTAATCGTATCTCTGTTGTGCAGTCTTACAGAAATATCTAGAGAGCTATTCAGTAGGGAATTCTAATTATTCTACATATTTAAAGAGAACTCCTTTAGTTTAACAATAAACCAGTATAAGGCAGCATGTCATATTCAGTATTCTGTGAACCTCAGGCAAAACCAAGGGCTTCAAATGCATCTGTGACTGAGTGGCTTCATTCCCAGTCTGAAGTGGACATAATCTGGACACAGAGTTACAGACACTCTTAATGAATCAGCTCATCTATGAGCTGAAGTGTTTTTAAAATAAATTGACACAGCAAGTGATCTCTAGGATTGTGAGCTATATGAAACATGATTTGTGTGAAATGCAGGAGGGTAAGTCAGGACAAAGTTTGGCCAGTGATGTTTTCATGCTGACTGGATTTTTAAAAATCACCGGGTGAAATGACTCTCGTTTCCTTAGGTTCTACTTGTACAATAACTCTTAAAGACATTTTGGTGCAGCTGTGAGGGCTGTCACTTTGTATTTGCAGATCACAGGTATACCAGAGTGGCGAGTCAGTTCCTGCTCTTTTATTTGAGTTCAAAGTGCCCATGGCCACAGATAACAATACCATCTGGCTTTTCCTCTAATCCTGATCATGCAATAATTGATTATGGGGAACGGTTTTTAAGATGGCTCTGTTAATAACCTTAGATGCATAGGGGCTGTGTGGGAAAGACAGAACTTGAAGCGAAAGGTGTAATGTTCTTGCTGGGATTTAGGTGTCTACAGCAGGTGCAGATAGACAGTGAATGGGAATTCATGGTATCATATAGGTTTATCCTCTTTACTGCATGTAAGGAGCTTGCTTCTAACCTTTGACACAGTGGGTAGATGAGTATTGCTGGTTATTTGTGAAATCAGTTAATGCACTTGTGTAACATGTACTATTGCTGAATGCCAGGGATTGTGGCAGGGTTCCTTTTTAAGTGGGCCAAAGTAATGTTATACCAATAAAATAAAAACCAGCAGGATCTTATTAAAGGGAAAAAGGCAAAATACCACATTTATTGTGAATACAGAAAGAATCATAGTAAGCAGTTAGTTATAGCTATAACATTCCATTCAATTTAATATTTATTCACACATTCATTCTCACACACACACACAGGTTCTGCAAGGTTGTTATCATCGTTACCAGCCTTAGAGTTGCTCATGCCAAGCCACTGGCCAGGTGGCCTGGACATGAGGAGGGAGCAGGGCCTTGTCAGATGCTCATCGGATGCTCCTGGAAGTTGGTTTGCAGAATCAGACCCCAAAGTTCTCACTTTCCAGAGTCCATTTTTATAGGAATTTCTTCCTATGCCAGTCTATGGGAATTGCTTCATCAGCAGATGGCACATTCCCGACGGCTCCGTGCTGCCAGATGTTATCTTGTTCTTTGGTTCTCCCATTCTTGAGGCTGTTGGGTGGATTCCAGTCTGCCCTCCGGGGGGTCCTCTGGTTATTTCTATTTGACGCCTTCTTCAGCCGATGGACACTGGATTCTTAGGCTGGCACCTCCCTGATCATTCAGTTATTATCCACACACATTCTCTATCTCTATTTTAATCACAATTGTTAATACAACAAAAGGGCGGGGAGTCTGAGTGCTGTTTCTGTTGTTACAGAGTATTGCTTTGAGTCTCTCTGTGTGAATTGCTTTGAGAGCAGACTGTCTTAGAATGTACTAATACAATTAGCAGCTTGCAAGTTTCACACAGAGGGAGAGAAACAGTACCAAAAACCAAGAGACCTCTTAATTAGTAATTCCTCAGAGTTTAAATTCCAGGGTATCAAACTCATTTGTGATTTTAATACAGAACTTCTTTAATATGATCCAACAATGTACACCTTTTGTATGTTCTCCATTGGCCTACCACAAACCCCACACGTGTCTTTTAGTATCTGAAATCAGTGCAAAGCATTTAACTGCAAAATCACCACTCCCTAATACTGCTATCTTGGCTTGTTTGTAGTTAGGCCTCGTGCTTTGTGCTGATTCACTCACCTTGTTAAATCCTGCATAAACTTTGAATTTGGTGGGCGTGTTTATTGTAACAGGAAAGAGTGATTGGGCCCCTCAGTAAAGCCCAAGATAGTGAAGTCTATTCAGAGTCCCTCTCACACCATGCAATTCAATACAATGTGGTGAAGTGCCAAAGCTTATTAATATTTAACAACTTGTTGACTCCTAAAGGAGTACACAAAGATCTTCTGTACTTTCCACAGTATGCATCCTATGAAGTGAGCTGTAGCTCACAAGAGCTTATGCTCAAATAAATTGGTTAGTCTCTAAGGTGCCACAAGTACTCCTTTTCTTTTTGCTAAAGGAGAGTGGCAGTACTAGGTGGATAATCAAAGACTATTGTTAGAACTAACAGGCCTATATAGGTATATATGGTCAAAATTGCCAAAGAGCCTAAATGACTTTATAAGCTTAAGCCCCATTTTCAAAAGGAATAAACACCCAAATCCTCAGTTATTTAGGCACCTAACTTCCATGAAATCAGTGGGAGTTAAGCCCTTAAATACCTTTGAGGATCCAAGCCTCAAGAACCCAAGTCTCACTGAAATTTACTTCGGCTCCTAAATCATTTTGATGCTTTTGAAAACTTTACCCATGGGCCCCAGGAAACAAAAATGTGTTTAAAGATAAATAGGGTTGTTGGGTTTTTTTTTTTTCCTTATGATGGTCTTTAAAGTAAATTTTGACCAAAAGATATAGGTTAAAAATAAAATTTGTGAAAACAGAACCGAGTTCTAAAATAGAAAAGTTGCTGAAATTGCTTTGTCTGCAAAAGCAGATTAAAACATAGGCCTGCTTTGAGAATAAGAACGATAGAGTGGTAATAGTTGTGTGTGTCATAGGTTTGGACCCATTTTTGTTTTGCTAATGGTTGGATGCATTGAGTGACCGGTTTTAATTCTTTTTTAATTTTTGTATTGGACTTTCCATTAAAGCTAGTGAGACGATATCTCCTTTGGACTTGTGACCAGCAAACACTCTTGCTAGCTGCCCCAAAAACAGTGTCTCTGTCTGAAAGGCAATGTGTTTTTTGGAGGACTCCTGGATCAGCAGTCAGGGTGACCTGCGAATGTTCTGTGTATTTAGAATTGCTTAGTCATGGGGGACCCTTTTAGGAGTTATTGTTTGCTGAATTGGGGCGTTTTCTACAAATGAACTAATTGACACTCGATTGGACTAAGTCAAATCACTTGTGAACCTGATTTGCTCATGGTTTGAAGATAGGCACAGTAGGGGCGGAGCAAGGGAAATTCATATCCATTGTGGATAAAAGCAGAGATCTTTGCCACTAGCTTCCCACCCGAGGAAAGGCTGAGGTTCCAGAATCTGAGAGACTGATCACCTTGCAGAGAAGAAACCTCGATATCCCGACGTTGGCTATTCCAGTCTCTGACTGGGCTTTTGCTCTGATCTGCTGAGCCTGTTGACAAAAAAGCAGCCAGCAGACCACCACCTGGTTCCTCTCTTCAGCTCCTGCTGGTAAGTTCAAATCTTTACTCTAAGTATCCACTTTTCTCCTTTTCTTCTGTTGAGGGGAGGATACATCCAATTTTTTAAGGGTATAAAAGAGGCTGTGCATAAACACGTGTAAGATTCACCTGGGAAAGTTCCCTTGGATTGTCTTAGGAAAACACTGCTTAAGGGTGTTCTCAGTTTAATGTGTTGTACTTCTAAAACTTGAGAAACTCTGATGTCATTGTCTGAAACATTTGGTTATTAAAATCTGCATTTATCAAGTGTATCAATCTGTTTTGTACCACCTATTGGCAGAAGTGTGGGGAAGGGTGAGCCGCGGTATCAGTGTTAAAAATGTACAGAGGCTTTATTTGCCTTTGCAGCTGTGATTTGAACTTTGGCTAAAACTGGTAACAATTGGTTTTCAGCACTGTCTATTTAACCAGGCTGAAATTGTAGTTTTAACTGGTATAAGGAAAAATCCTTTGAGGATTTTGAACCAATCAGGCTGCCACCATTTTAGATTTCTTTTAGAATACATGGATGAGATTCTGTGCTGTGTCTTTAAGAACTGTGGCAAAGAATTCTCAGCCCAGTGGAGTGGGGGCTGAGAGGACTTTAAGCCGCCTTTATGCCCTCCCGTTCCTGGGCTGCTCTAGGACTAGAAAGGTCCCTGGAGTAACTAAGACAGCTCTCGGGCATCCTTCACTGAGGCAGGGAAAGGTACTAAAAAAAACAAACAAACCCAACTCCCCCCCCCCCCCAAAAAAAAAAAAAAACCAAAAAAACCAACAATCTTGGTAAGTGCAAGTATAAAAAAGACTTGACAAACTCTTATCATGCTTATGGGGCCAGTGCTTAGCCTGAAATTGTTAAGCACAGAGATGGAGATGCTCAGGCATGGGTGTCTGACAATATCTAATCTTGCAGTGGGGGTGGGGGGGGGGGGGGGGTTGTGTGTGTGTCAGAATGGCCATGCAGCCATTTGTATTCCAGGTTTTGATTTTGATTGTGCTGTCTTCTCATGCAGGTGGTACAGGATGGTGAGAGCCAAGTCTTGGACGCTGAGAAAGCATTTTGAGGGCTTCCCCAAAACAAGTGACTTTGAGCTGAAAGAGGTAGAGCTGCCAAAGCTAAAGGATGGAGGTAAGGAGAATGGTCCTTCATGTAGATGTTGTTAGGACTATATTTTGTCGTCTTTTTACTCACCGTGCAGTGTGTAAATCTAGAATAATTAATACATTTCTGTGAACTGAGCTTTATAAAAGTACAAGCAGGCTGGGATCTGGCAAAGATGTGGAGTCATGTGACTCAACAAAGAATCCCCTGGGCTTCATGTGCCGAATACCTGGCTCAGCAGTGCTCCTGTGGATGAGCAGACATTTAGGGCGGGATTTTCTAAAGTGCTCCGCATTGCCTAAGGTACAGAAGCCTATGGAACAAAGTTTTTTTTTTTTTTAAGTTACGCCATCGTCATCATATCACCACGTTGTAAAGATAACACGATATTGATTCACGTTCGGAAGGTTCTCTTCCTCTGTCTGCAGACCGGCAGAGATTGATCATAGGGAAGGGGAATTAAATTAACAAGACTGGTCACTTTCACTGCTTCTAGTCAGAACCCTGTGGGCAGCAGAGAAATTATGGAAAATCATGTCATTTTCCTTCTGGTGCTGCTGCTTGGGAAAGTGGCAGATGTGCATAAGCTCAAATTATTCACTAGGAGTTGCGCCCCCCCCCCCCCCCCAAAAAAAAGAGAGGCAATAGAGGAGTAGAGTAGTTGACACCTGTCCGCACACTAACCAGGAATCTCTGGACTGGGGAAAAGATACAGAAAACTCTTCCCTGCCAGCAGTAAGAGAGTGCTTGAACTTCAAGTGTATGAAACACCTACTAGTCAGAGATTGACATGAAAGATGGAAGCCCTAAACATGGTGCAGGGACAGCATCATGGTAGAAATACCAGTAGCTGGGGGACTGGGCTTTTACCAGGACATTGCTCCTGGACCCCACTGGTGCCTTTTGCCCTCACTTCAAACCTGTCCTTAATTGCTTTTCTGGCTAGTAGGTTTAATTCTCCAGCCAGTAGGGATCTGCCAGACGTTTCAAGCCTTATTATTGACACAGCAAAGTGTGAAGTTTGCCTTGTGCTCCCAGCCAGAAGGCAGGCCTAATTCAGGAACACTCGTGTCTGGATTTTTATTTAAAAAAAAAAGTGTGCAGTTGTCACGCCTTCTCCAAACCCCCTACAGTGGGGAGGAGGAAGGGGGAGAAAAAAGTGCACCCCTCTCCCCTGCGTAGCATGCAATTTAGGAAAGGGAAATATTTGTTTTCAGGGGGATGAATGGAGAAAAACAGGGGGAGCAGTAAAACAGAGTTACATGCAACACATGGACCTATGGGCTCAATGGTACCCCAGTATGCAGGGACAGACACTGACCAGTGCATCTAGACCAAGAGTTCGGGAGTCCTGGGCAGAGTTCCAGTCCGGCAGTGAATCTTGGGTGCTCCTGGTCATCTTCAGCACCAGTAAACTTTCCCCAACAAACCCCTCTGGTGCCCTCTTCTGCGGTTCTCTGCAAACCCATCCAGAGCGACAACCTCCCCACGTAGCTAGCTACAGCCTCTCTCCTTATTCCCAAGGCAAGGTCACAAGCCTCAGTACTCACAGCCCCATACAGCTCTGGGTGGCAGTGATACTGGGTCCAGCTCCGGTTTGTTCCTCTCAGGAGAGCTGGAGCTAGAGACACCCGCAGCCCTGTCGTGCTCCCTCTTTCCAGCCCTCCCCTGGAACAGCCAGTGCTTCCTCTGCCTCACAGGCCATGCTCTCTAAACCCTAGGGGATGTCTACACTGTAATTACAGGTTTCAGAGGAACAGCCGTGTTAGTCTGTATTCGCAAAAAGAAAAGGAGTACTTGTGGCACCTTAATTGGTTAGTCTCTAAGGTGCCACAAGTACTCCTTTTCTTTTTACACTGTAATTAGATGCCCACGTCTGGCCTGTGCCAGCTGACTCAGGCTCTAAGGGGCTGTATAATTGTGGCTGGTGAGCTCTGGGACCTCCAATCTCACAGGGTCCTAAAGCCCAGGCTTCAGCCTGATCCCATAAGTTGGCACCTCAGTTAAACAGCCATTTAGCCCAAGCCCTGGGAGCCTGAGTCAGCTGGCGCTGGCCAGCTGTAGGTTTCTAACTGCAGTGTAGACACACCCTAAGGGGGTTACAATAGCAGAAAGTGCTTTGAACCCAGAGAGAGGGAGCCGTGTCTCCTATGGCTGTCTATCCAATCTATTTGTAAGGCTCTATAGAAATAGTCTGCGTACTGTACCCATAACACATAGCTCAGCAGAGCTGGCAAAGTTAGAAAAGTCCCCCTGATTGACTAGGTCATATTCCTGAATTTCTGCATTTTAAAGCGCTGCTCCCAACACTGTCTGGGGAGAAATGGACCTGCCTCTTCAATCTCTGGTGAACATCCATGCATGTCACGCTTACTATTTCCCCCCTCTCCATTCCATACTACCTGGCCATTTCCAGCAGTCATTCCAGTGGAATTTACAAAAATCCAGGATTTTTAAATACACTGCCTGCCCAGAGAGACAGAGAATGGACCTGTATGTGCCTGGGATTGCGCATTGGTTGTTTGTTTTTTTTAAACAATCTGAATACATAAATAGTTGCAACAAGTGTTTCTTTGCCCTTCGGCACTAGCCATGCATCTGAGCATTAAGATATGCTGCAGCATTATCTAATATATTGTTACATGATTAAGAGTATCAGAGATGTTAAAACATCTGGATATGGTTGCAGATGGCAGGTTTGAAATGTACATCCATTCCTGTGTGTATTTAAGAAAACTTCAGTTATTTCCCTTCCCCTTTAAATCCTTAAAGTGTGGGTGGGGATACCTTTAGATTAAATTTTTTTTTAAAGCAGATTTTCCCTACTTAAGTTGGCTTTGAATGCAAAGAGACTAATCTGTTTAACTTTCTGGCTCTCATGTACTTGCACAGTTCTGTAATGTCTGGGCTGTATTAACAAACTCTTGCTGTCACTGATTACAGACACTTCCAACCCCAATCTTGCACCCCACGCCCCAGCATTCATTGCTTTGAAATGATAACTTTTCTAATACCATTAGTTCTTGTAAACCACTAATGTTAAACAAACCAAACTGGTCCAAAATTACCAAACAACATCCCCTCCGTGATATTTAAGAGAGAAAAAGTAAATGGGGTATTACTATTTATGGCCAAAGTAATCTGCCTTGGGGCCTAAGGGTGGGTGAATGTGGTCTGTCCGCACCCTCTGTTGGTTGAATAATGCTAATAAAGGGTTTTATGCATGGGTCTTAAAAGGTAAGAGTTCTCTGTTTGGGTGCCTGGACTTCTGAGCCCCTTACAAAGGAACGGGATATAGCAGGGATGGGCAATTCTAAGGGCTGCAGAATCCACTGAAACCTTTTGGCAGGTCATACTTTTTTTTTTTTTTGGTAGAGACGACATATTGCATAGCTTAAAAAAGTTTGCTACAGTACAGCATGTTAGCATACAATTATCTGTGTATTAACCATGTAAAAATGTTCTTAAATTTAAGAACAGAGTGATGACTCACCGGTGCAGCACCTCCTGCTGGTCATCTGGACTTAGCTCACTCCAGCTCCAGAGCACCTTCTGCTGGCTGGTGTCTCACCTGTCTAAGCCCCTCCGTGTCCCTCCTGGACCCCAGTGCCCTTTACCTCAGGGTTTTGCCCCTGCAGTAGCCCCACTTTCTGGGTCTCCCCTCCTAGGGGAGCCCCAACCCTCTAAACCCACCTTGCCTCAATGGCAACTGCCAGTCATCATCTAGCCCCCCGCTCACTGGTGCGGACTGCAAGGGGTTAGGACCAGCTGCCTCTGCCTATTCCCAGGGTGTACCTCTGTAGCCCCAGTACCTTTGTAGGCCTTCACCAAAGTCTGCAGCCTAGGAGTTTACCAGTCTGGAGCTCCCCAGCTCCTCTTGCCCTTTTCCCCAGCACTGCTCAGCTTCAATACCTTGCTCCCAGCAGCTAGCCCTTCCTACTCCAGGGCTAGGGTGAGACTCCTCTGTCTCCTGGCCCCCATAGCCCTCTTATCCAGACCAGCTGTGGACTGATTAAGCCAGCCACACCTGGCGCCAACAACCTCACCAGCCTCCTTCAACTGCTCTTAATCCCTTTTACTTTGGAGTGGGGCAGCCATCCCAATACAAGCCCCTTATAGATCATACAATTATCATACAATTAACATACAAACCTTTATCTACAACCCCCCACCCCCAAAGCCCCAGGTTAAACACACATCCTTCACTGGCTGACCTTTTTTCAGGGTGCAGAAGAGCCCACCAGCAGAAACACCTGCCCGCCCATGTTAAGCGCCACAATCTCCAGGAATGTGGACAAGCCCATGCCCCTGGACACCACCTCTGCCCCAGTCCCCACCACCTGGGATGCACAGCCCCTGCTCAGTAACCCCAGGCGCTGTCCACCAGGGCCATCCTGGAGCGATCCCAATGTGATCAAGGAGCTGCCTCCTCCTCCGGCCCTTACTCCGGATGGTGGGAAGAGCCGTCACCCTCCCTCTTTCAGCATCCTCTGCTCGGGGCTACCAGAGCCTCTTGCTGCTTCCCTCCCTCTGGGTGCAGGCAGAGCCACCGCCTCTCAGGCTCTGATTTGGATGGGCCTGGAGTCTACCTGGGTGGGTGATGGTCCACTTGGGCCCACCTGTGGCTATACCCCTGGTGGGCCAAATAAAATGATCTAGCTGGCTGTATATGGCCCCATGGCCCATAGTTGCCTATCCCTGGGGTACTGGAAAGGAAGACAGGCTAAGGAGAAAAGGTGTGTCCCAAAAACCTTCCTTCCACAACAGTCTCAAAAACAAAACAGAAAGCTATGTCTGTTTGCCTTCTCTGCTAACAGTGTAGCAGTAACTTAGACAAAGCCTAGAAACTTGATTTGATCTCTGTCACTTTAGCTTAGTAGCTCTGCAAAGGGAATCCAGAGCACTCTGTGATAGGTCAGTGCACTGTCTTGTAACATTTGATATTTATTTACTGTAGGTCCTAATGTAATTGCTAATCCTTTTTATTGCAGATGTGCTGTTTGAAGCTGTGTTTCTCAGTGTTGATCCTTACATGAGGTATGCTTTTCTTTCTTCCTTTTTAGTTTAGTTTACTGCTTTGAATTGCTACTTGAATCCTAAAAGCAGTGCTTATTTAGAGCCTCTGGCTTTCCACGGTCTTCTCAGGGGCTGCCTGCCCTATACAAACACCAAAGCCCCACCTTTGGCTTCACCAAAGTCCCTTTGACACTGTAGCAACTACCACATTGGTGGCCCTAGTTACAACACAGTATCCTCCCCACTTCCACAACATAAGGCTAAAGCGCAGTTCAGTCATGCAGAGTAGACCGGACTGAACTGTGCAATAACTATAGTATGGCCATAGAATGTCACTGGGCTTTACTAAATTTTAATGGACCGTTCAGAAACTCAGGTGAAACGCAGTTCTGTTCATCTTTGCTGCAAGTCCTAATTGTTGTTATTATTACTATTTATATTCCAACAGAACCTAGTGGCTTCCACCGTGCTAGGTGCTGTGCATACACTCAGCAAGAGACACTCCCTGCCCTGAAGAGTTTAGTCTAAATAGACAGACAAGGGGCATGAGAATGGAAGTGTTATTACCTCCATTTTATAGATGGGGAACTGAGGCACAGAGAGATTACAGTCACAAAGGAAGTCTGTGGTAGAGCCAGGAATTAAACCCAGTTCTTCTGAGTCCCTGACCCGTGCCTTATCTTGAAGGTACTAGCCGGGTTCTCTAATGGTAACTGTAACCTCGTAATGGCAGGGGACGAGCATTTTGTAATAAATTATCCAGGCACGGTAGTTGATCAAGGGGCATCTCCACTCATGGGTGGTTGGCTAGGAACCATATTTTATTTTTGTTAAATTGAGAACGTAACTCTCTCTCTATCTCTCTGCAGATATCTGGCAGAGTCAGCAGTGAGACCCTCGGTGCACTGTGTCTTAATCAGACAATGGACAATAATCTGTTGTGACTATTTTGCACTTAATTAAGGCTCTATCTCCATTTTGTGTGTTTCAGACCTTATAGTGGGAGAATCATGAAAGAGGGAGACATCATGATAGGCAGTCAAGTGGCTAGGTAAGGTCTTTGTTAGTTGCTTGATTTCTTTTTTCCTAACTCACGGTCCTCTTTCCATGCAAGAGACTCAAAGCACTAGAGAAGGTACAACATCACTTTTCAGAGATGACTGCATGCAGCCTATATCACTTTCTGTTAGCCAATGCAGCACGTTAATAGGTATTATGTACACAATACTAATACAATATACAGTATATACATAAAGTGTTGAGAAGTTATGTTAACGGTAGGCCTTATGGTCTCCCCATGATTCTGTTCCCGCATGTTAAGTATCCCACAACACTTTGCGAATCTGAAGTCAGCAAATTGGCATTAGGAAAGCTGTCAAAGACAAGATACAGAAATGATGTGTCCAAGCAGAGGTTGGGATGTACCTCTATGTCCAACTTGTTTGGAATGTGCTATCCAAAACAGAGAGAGAGAGAAAGGTGCGGAAAAAGTAGTTAAGGAACTGGTGGGTTAGATCTTAGATGATGTATAGGGTGCTTTTTAACTTGTAATCAGCCATGATATAAATATGAGTGGTTCTGGGGGTGTATCGTTGAGGCACACCTTCTGTGTAAGGAAGACATGCTGTGAGATAAGAATTGCATCCGGGAAGGAGGGTACGTATATCTCCTTTTTGTGTTGTGCTGTTTTTGTTTTTAGACAGTAAATTTGGCTAAGTTTGGTTGCTTGGCATATCAAACATTTTTCATTACGAATTGCAACTGGCTACACCTTTTAGTCAATACTTCTCTGGGTGGCCCCATATTTCCTGGCAGCTGCTTTCTTTACCAGTCTGTAATCTGTCAGAAAGCAAGTACGCCCTGTGAAGCTGTACTGCCTTCTAGTCCTACTTAAGAGTTTGTTCGGAGGCCTTGAAACAACCCTTACTTGTGTTTCTCACATGAGCAATGCCATTGAAGGGAGTTCTTACAAGACAGGGCAGGAAAGGCTAACATTGCACAAGTGGTCATATCCTGAAGTGTCCTCTTGTATGTAGGACGTGCTGTGTAATTGTTCACCCAGGAACGGTACAGTCAGCAATTCCAGCTGAGAATACTCTTCAGCCACCTTTTGCTGATAAGGCGTATTGTGACTTCACCGTTGCCAAGGAATGCTATACTGTCTCCATCATCATCAGACTTCTTTGTGGTCCTGTGTGGGGAAACGAGAGGTTGGGAGGAAATTTAAGTCCTAATCTTCTGAGCGAGAGGTCAGATACCATCCATAGTTGTAACACTTCATTTGAAACGAGCTGAGGAATTTGCAGTGTCTGGTGCCAAAGGATTGTGTGCATCTTCTGCTGAATTTTGTTGTTTTTTGTTTGAATATCTTCATTATTAGGGTCCCAAGCCAATACAGTTTTCAAGCTGTTCTTAAAGAGCCCTTCCTGTCCTAAAACAGGAGCAGCCTTTAGAAGGTGAAATGTCTTCAGCCTTTGAAAAGGGACCTGGTTTACTGAATAAGGAACTGCCTCTTCTCCTCTGCCCCTGTGATATACCATTTCCCCAACCTTCCTCTCGCCTTCTGGCCCAGCTGCAAGGATCAACTCAGGATTCAAACTGAACTGGTGTTTCAATCAGGGTTTTGGCTTGGGATCCTCCCTAACATATATTAGGCGCATAGGTCTGATCCAGTGTGGTAATTCCTATGGCCATGTACCAGCTGTTTCAGAAAAAGGTGCAGGAAATGTGCAGTGTAGCTAGTTTTGTGTTCATCTGCCTAGAGGGAGCATTTCCTCCTAACCCTCTCATAACCCCATGTGTTAGCCCTACGTAAATATTTAGTAAAGCTAGGGAGAAGGAGCTGTTTGTAAAGTGTGGCTTTCGTTTGTCTTCTCAGAGTTGTGGAAAGCAAGAATCCCACCTACCCAGTAGGGACCTATGTTGTGGCTAATTCAGGCTGGAAAACTCACTTCATCTCTGATGGGAAAGATCTACAGCTGCTTCCTCCTTGGCCGGAAAAGATTCCCAGATCTTTGGCTCTTGGGACAATTGGCATGCCAGGGTAAGTCATAGCTAATGCTATATAAAGACTAACCAAACTTTGCTGCATTAAGATTTCCAGCCATCTGTGTGCAGGCTCTACCATGCCCCACATGCTCTGAGAGGCTCGTGCCTCTGAAGAGGGACTGAATTTTGACCAATCCTATGGGTGGGAGGCTTATAGCTCTAAATCTCCATTTGGAGCCTCTTTTTCCTTACTTGGAGCCTGCACAGTTGCTTCTTGGCCCTATGGTGATGGGGCCAGAGTATTGTGCTGGAATCAGAGGTGAAAGTAAGCTGGTGTGCCAGAGTACAGTGTACCGGCAAGAGCTGGTACACCGTACCAGACCGGCTTCCCCAGGCGGCAATTTGAAGGGCCTGAGGCTCCCAGCAGATGCTGGAACCCCGGGTCCTTTAAATTGCCACCAGAGCCCCGCTGCCAGAGCCAGTGGAGATTTAAAGGGCCCGGGGTGGTAGCGACGGCCGGAGCTCCAGGCCCTTTAAATGGCCCCCGAGCCACCAGCCGCCTCTGCAGCTGGTAGCTCCAGGGGTGATTTAAAGGGCCCGGGGCTCCCAGCCGCCACTACTGCAGCTGGAGCCCAGGGCCATTTTTAAATCTTGATTTAAAGGGCCTGGGGTGCTAAAGGCTCCACTTCTTCCGGTTGAGGCCCACCCCCTGCTGAGGACTCCGGCGTACCAGTAAATCCTTTAAGTTAGTTTCACCCCGGCTGGAATTAAAAAGCAGGCCAAGGGCCCAGTCCAACAGGCATTAGAGTTGATGGAAGGGACTCCTTTTGATTTCAGTAGTAAACTAGCCAGGGTTCATAAAATACTGATCTTGCTCCGCTGATTTCTCTGTATTTCCAGAGTTTGCACAAAGATGGAAACATATGCAGCTGTAGAATTCTACAGTCAAATAGCAGCATCAAAAGCACATCTATACCTATTGAACAGACCTACTGTTCATGGTGACCCTGCCCTAAATACAGAAGAAATTCCATTCCACTCATGCTTTCTGTTGCCTACCTCCTCCTAACTTCTTTTCTTACCTCTATGTTTGTAGAAGGACAAGCCCCATGGAAAGCTTTCAGCTTGCTATTTGTGATCTGTGCAGAACAGAAGCTTCTTAACATTTATTTTAAAAATGGGCAAGATGTGTAGCTTTCCACATTCAAATAGCTTGAATGGATTTTGTACACATTATAAATAATTTCTAGTACTTCATATAGAACGAGGAAAAAGAATCTGTAATGGGATGAGATATCCCCTCCCCTGGGAAGCTACATGAAGCATGACCCGACTTTGTGTTTGTAATGTCTCCACCAATCTCCACTGATCATTTCCTTCCTCTTTCAGCCTCACTGCATACTTCGGCCTATTTGAGATCTGCAAGATAAGAGCAGGAGACACGGTGCTGGTTACTGCAGCAGCTGGCGCTGTGGGTTCAGTGGTGGGGCAGATTGCTAAAATCGGAGTGAGTGGCTTGAATTGTTCATATGAACACCAGAGACTAAGGAGAGGAGTGGAGGGATTTGCATGCTTAGGAGGAAGGGGGACAGTGTCTCTTAGAGCGGACTTGCCCCAGGGAATAAATAAAATATGCCATGACCAACTCCTGCCTGCACTTATCATTCAGCTGCTGCAAACCTTGCAACCAGCACTCTCCGGAGCCAGTGATACAGCACGTGCATTCCTGGTCAGTGGCCCTAGCTGCCCCTGAGTTGGCAGTTGGCCCCTACCCCATAGCGTGTGTTTAGCTGTAGAGGATCACTCCATTGTCACTACACCACAAGCCAGTCTTCACCTGTCAACAACATACAATATATGTACCTTACAGCAGTAGTTCTCAATCAGTGGCCTGGGGTCCCCTGGGAAGGCCACGAGCAAGTTATAGGGGGCAGCCAACCAGGGCCAGTATTAGACTCACTGCCCAGGGCAGAAAGCCATAGCCCCACCATGCAGGGCTGAAGCTTGGGGCCCCGCCACCTGGGGCTGAAGCCAAAGCCTAAAAAACTTAGTTTTGTGGGGGCCTGTGTTATGGGGCCCTAAGCAATTGCCCTGCTTGCTAACCCATAACACTGGCCCTGGCTTTTATATGCAGAAAAACAGTTGTGGCACAGGTGGGCCCTGGAGTTTTTATAGCATGGGCTGGGGTGGGGAAGGGGTGGCGGCACTCAGAAAGAAAGAGTTTGAGAACCCCTGCCTTACAGGAGATTAAAATGTTGGGGGGAAAAGGGAAGTGTGTACACACTTCTAGAAACATTTTTCTCTGTCATTAACACAAAGAGAAATGGTCTGAAATGTGACTTAAGTGGCTTGTGTCATATGTCATAAATTTAACCCATTCAGTGATGGATCCTTGAAAATGACAATCTTCCTTTTTAAGATCCCTGTAGCTAAAGCACAGAGGCTAACGGAACATCTATAAAATACGTTAGTGTAGCAGTTCAAAGTCCCATGTTGCCTGATGGCTACTTTCTGTGCAGGGCAAAGAGAAGTAGGGGGAGATCAGCTTTCACAGGGCAACTCAAGGCAGTGGGAGCTGGGGATGTAGGGAACCTGCAGCATTCCAAAGCTGTGCAGGGGAAGGAAAAGGTGAGTTGCAGGCTCTACTGTCTGGTGGCATGTAGCATCTCATTTGTACCTTGTATTTTATGCTGAAACCACCTGTGAGTTAAGATGTATTTTCTGTTCCTCCAGGGTTGTAAAGTGGTTGGCTGCGCTGGCTCAGATAAAAAGGTTGCTTATCTGAAACAGATTGGCTTTGATGAAGCCTTTAACTATAAGGCTGTAGGATCCTTGGAAGAAGCACTGAGAAAGGCCTCACCCGCTGGCTACGACTGCTACTTTGATAATGTGAGTTCAAACTAGGATTGGCAAGAGTGCAGCTTGTTGCAAAAGTCCACATCTTTCTGACGTGCATGTGCACTTGGAATGTTGTGGCCTCATCCTGTGAGAAATAGCCCCATTAGAGAAGGTCAGGGCTCACGCTGTTTCAGTTTTCCCTTTCAAATTCCTAGTTGCTAGCGAAAACTGCTGGCCTGTGTTTTCATGAAATTCTGAAGTTCCAGGTCAGGAGCATTGGAAAGGAGGAATAACGCTGAAACAGGGAGTTGATTTGCACAGTTGTTCTTGCTTTCACTGTTTGGGGATAGGGAGAGGAAAGTTGTACTTTGGCTATATGTAAAATTAATCTAAGGTTGCGTGTCAGTGGCAGGTCTGAGGGGTTCGGACAGTGGAAGGATGGTCATGTATTTAAGCCACTTGACTGTGACTTGGTAGATCTAGGTTTAGATCTAGGTGTGACAATGGGCAAATTACTTGATCTCTTTGTGCCTCAGTTCTCCAGCTATACAATGGGGATAACAGCACTTCTTTTATTCTGCTCTTTGGCTCTCTGTTTAGATTGTAAGGTTTTGGGGGCAGGGACGGTCTCTCTGTCTGTATGGTACCTAGCACAATGATCTAATATGTAGCACTAGCATAAAATAATAGGACAAGCTACAATGAATTTAAAAAAGCAAAATAGACATGCTGGCTCATTATAATCAAAATGCTCCTAGTATTACTATAGAAACTGTATAAAACTAAAAGCATAACTAATAGTTTAAAACAACTCCTTCACCTGCCCGCTGGCTCAGGAAGGCCAGCATGACTCTCTTCACCACCACAGCTTTCTCCCTTCAGCCTCTGCAAAGGCAGTGGGAAAAGCAGCACAACACAGCAATTCTTAAGCCAGTGAGCGGCTCTGACTTTTTTTCCCCAGAAAGATCAAAGCAGTCAAGAAATCCCTGACAAACCATTGGCCCTGATAAGTGTTCTTGCTCACTTAATGGTCCCTCCTGTCCCGATTTGGCAGCCCTCAACGTTTTCAGGGAAAATGGTTACCATCACAATGCATCCCCTGCCCCTCCCTTCCAGCAACATGGAAAAGTCCCCAAATGTCAATTACAGATTTAAAAAAAAACCTTTTATCTTCGTAGGTTTTCTTGACAAGCATATGCCCTTATTCATAATAAGGTGTGGCTTCATCATGGAAGACACTTAGTCATCCTGAGCTAGATGGTAAATTGGTGTAGATGCATTCCATTCGGTGGCACTCCACTGACTTTCAGCAGTGGAGGACCTGTCCACCTAGGGGTGACAGAGCCCTGGACACACATCTTGGGTGGCAGGTTGGGAAAATAGCCATCAGTACCATGACTACATCAACCATGTTTCAGTTCTAGCAGATTCTAGCTATTCAGCCTTTGCCTCAATTAGGCATGTTAGACTGCATGAGCTAGATTGATTTCGCTCAGTGTAATAATACTTTCAAAAGCTCTAGTCAAGGCAAGTTGTTCTTTCGTAGATCCGAACTGGTTAAGGTAAAGCCTAGGCTCCCATCTGACATGATCTCACACCATACCTTTAAATCCCAGTCAACAGTGTCTCTGGTGCCCTGCAGATGTTGGGTGAGCATTTGGAAAGTAGCAGCCCTATGGACATATTGTTTGAATGAAAGTCAACAGCTGAGACCATATGTGGGGAGGGTGGTAAGGATGAAAGAAACGCAGTGTTAATACTCTCCTAAAATGCTCAGGGCATGACCTCTGGAAATAGCTTGGCTATGGAGCAGGATTTACAGCCTTTTCCCAGAAGCAGGCTGACATCAGCACAGCTGGTGCACAAATGAAAACATCTCCACTTAGAAACACAGAGAAAAATATTCAATATTTTGCCAAGCAAATGGGAAAAGCATGATGCCAGTGAAGCTTTGTCAAGCTGAGGAGAGGATATTACAAAATACTTCTTGCACAGACTCCTATGAGAAAGCTGTGGAACAGTAGCTTACTACCGTTTGTCTAATGGTTTAGATAATTAGCACTCCTGCACCAGGCAGGCCATTTGGAAGATCTGATCATTCCAGTGCTGGAGTCCTAATGGGATATACTGTAAATATAATACTGTCAGCAGAAATTCTTGCTTGGTATTTTGGTGCTATTTTCAAGATCCTGCCCAGTTTACCTCTTAGCACTTAGTCTTCTGAGTCCCTTTGTACCTGCACTCTGCCAGCAAAGCCTTCCTCTTGTCCACTCCCCTTTTCACATTTGCCCTAGATCAGCTGCTCCCCCCCCCCCTTCCTAAAAACTCTGCTTCTAGTTAACCATCCACCTCCTTTCTCATACCATGCCTCTGTTTAACCTCACTCACCTTTCCAGGTTGATATTAAATTAGATCCAAGGTGTTCATCTTGCTGCTCTCAAATTCAATCTCTTCCTGGTCCTTCATCTAATTTAGATGAATATTTCAGGGCAGGTACTATGTCCTCTTACGTATTTTTAAAATGCTGTCTAAACAGGAAACTGCATGCCCATAGGACCCTGACCCTCAGTCTTGACATTATAGAACTGTGAAATAACATAGCAGAGATGGGCGCAGAGCAGTGCTTGAGTCAAACACTTCCAAATAAGGGCCTGCTCTTACAAGCACTTAAGCTTATGAGTAACTTAACTCTAGCAACTAACCCCCCATTAGATCTGCACTGCTCAATGGGATAACTCACATGAAAGTTATTTACATGCTTAAACATTTACAAGTTCAGCCCCCAATGATCAATATAGGTTTTATGTCACTTTATCTATGTTCTGACTACTTTAGGTGGGTGGAGAGTTTTCAAGTATTGTTCTGAATCAAATGAAGAAATTTGGCCGGATTGCTGTGTGCGGAGCCATCTCTGGATACAATGACACAGTGCCCCAGAAAGGTATGAGGCTTTTGGGCAGTTTTTATGGTGAAAAAAATAAAACTTTCCTCTTTGAATTCTTTTAATGGCTTTTATGTTGCTTCAATGTGAAACAAACCCTCAAAATTAAAATATATATTTTTGTCAAGCAAATTCATCCCCCATGCTGTATTTTTAGGACAAAGTTAATCAATCTTGTATTCTGTGCCTCAAAAAAAAGATGTATTTGCCCAGAATTAAAACAGAACAAACTTAGTTCATGGTCCTTTCCCACCATGGAATGGTAAAGCTTCACAGAAACAGCAAGGCTCATTGTAGTCAAAGCTGCATCTGAGTAAATAGGAATGAATATGGCAAGGGATGGAGATATCCCTCAAATGGGAGAACTCCTCACTTCAATAATAACTGATCTTTGATATTTAACATTAAATAGTTCCAGATGGACAATAGGACAATGAGCTTTATCTACCAAGATGATGTGGGGGAAATGAACATTGGTTTAACAGGAATGGGGAAGAGTAGTGATGAGCAACCACCATAGAAATAACTGTCCAAGAAGTGCAAATTACTAATTTTCAGCAAAAGCAGTGACTGGACCTCTCACCTAAAATAATAGCAGCAAGGAAGGAATCCCTTGCAGAGTACAACCAGAGAACTCACTGTAACAGACTTGGTGACAGTTGGTATGGGATTTAAATGAGACTTTGAGTCACTCTTGCACACCACTAGAGGGCAGTAGAGAATGATGAGCTGGGTTGTTTCAAGAATTCCAACTTTATCTTTAGGGTGGTATTTACTTAATGTTCTAAATTAAACAGCAATGGTAAAACAGCCTGATACATGCTATTTCTGTAGCAAAGCTGATTACATAGTTCAGCCATCTAGATGGAAAAGTTCTTTCCCTAGGGCTTTAGATGGTTTTACTTTTATGGTGGGATTTGTATTGATATTAAGTACTGTCAACTCAATTGAAATCAATGGGAGCTGGGGGGGAGGGGTAAGGAGAGAATAAAAAAATTAAATGTCTGACATTCCAGGTTCCTTGGTCAGTGCTCTAACCACTGGCCTATGGGGAGGGGTGGTCTGCACCACCAGTATCACAATTTTGTGCAGGGCCCAGTCTGGTCAAGAAGTGCAGCCTGGGGCTGATGACACACTGACTAACTTGGCTTTACCAGCATCTCAGCTTCTCCTTCCTGCACATTGGTTTGGTTTTAAACCAAGTAATATTACTGCTCTTTTGTCTATTACCATTTCCAACAGGACCTTATGTTCAGATTCCAATGATCTTCAAGGAGCTTTACATGGAAGGATTTCTTGTCTCTCGGTGGAATCACAAGCGTGATGAGGCCCTGAAGATACTGTTAAGATGGGTTGTTGAGGTAAGAAATGGACAGTTTCTCAGACTAGTCTGTGAACTCATGCTGCTATTTCCTTCTTTACAAAAGACTACACTAAGAGTCAAGTCTGCTGTCATACACTGCTCTTCCATACCCAACATGTCCCTCAAGCAGGGGTTGTGTGTAGGGGGAGAGGCAGAGTCAAACCATGCTGAACACAATACAGAAGAGGAAGAGTGCATGCAGCAGCCAAAACTATGCTTGGCCAAAAATGAAGGGGCAAGGTACCAAACTCAGCTCATCTCTACTGTAAGGTCAGTTAACTGATGAGTGAGAAGGGGGCCAGGGATATCCCTAAACATAAGTGCAAGTCTCTTAACAAGACCCACTTCAAAACTAGTCCAACTACTTTGCCTTTTTTGCCACCTGGCAAATATCTGAAGTACTTGCTCTATTCCTTCCCCCTCCACTAACAGCATGGCCAATTTTTGTGAATTTTTTTTAAACCACCTCAGTTTGGTTGCAGAAAAGCTTGAAAATGAGCCCTAAAGACAACACTAAGCATCAAAGAACCACAAAGTTGTTGTGGGGCCTATTACAGCTTTTGAACACTTGGGGTTGGCAATACTGCACTTACTAGGGGAGGAAGAGAAATCTTATTTCTGGAGTTCTAATGCTCCACACCTGAAGATTTAGTTCTGTTAGACCTATTGCAGCTAGTCTCTGCAGAAGTAACTGATCCACAGGGAATTTGGCATCAGTCAGAGGAACAATGGTAGGTGGGCCACCAAAAGCAGCAACCATGTTTAAATCACTTGCTGATCAGTATTTAATGGTGAGGTCACTAAAATAAACCAAAAACTTCACTACAGACATTACTGTTTATTCAAAAGGTGAGCTCTTTAGCTGATGTAAAGAGGTACAACTCCATTGACTTCAGAGCTACCACAGTTCACATCAGCTGCTAGGAATTATGAGTTGAATGGATCTAGCTACAGTTTAGACCACCTGCACAGTAAGAGTTGAGTAAAAATTGTTTCTCTTTCCACAGGGGAAAATTAAGTGTGAAGAACATGTTACTGAAGGATTTGAAAAAATGCCAGCAGCTTTCATGGGAATGTTAAAGGGAGAAAACCTTGGAAAAGCAGTAGTAAAAGTGTAAAGGGCATGTGGTTTGTTCCATGAGGAAAGCCATACCAATAAATAGCTTGTCTATCTTGTCACCAAATGTTCAGCCATAATTCACTAAATACTTTAGCCCATTAAAAATTGTTCAAATTAGACAAGTCTTCAACTGGCTTCTTCAAATACAATGCTACAAATTGTTGCTCCTGCAGTTATGCAATTAATCCACTTTATCAGTCCTCATTGATACATGTGATTCTGAGGCTTAAAGAATGCACTACTCTACTAATTTATGGGCATTTTGAAAATTGCCAGCCAGGTAAACTTTCAGTGCTGCTATATGGCTTTATACTGAGGATCTGACTTTTTTAAAATGCAGGTAATCTTAAGTGAGCTGCTTGACAGCCTGATGTGAACTAAGGTCCATGCAGAGAGCAGAAGTCAACTGCAATCTTTTAAATACTATCTGCTACAGTTATTTAAATAGATTTGTACTAGATCCCCTTAAAATGTAGATTTTATTCTGTAGCTAATAACATGCTTGTCAGAGTCACAGTAACATATAGCCCAGGAGTAATCTGATGAAGTAGTTTAGAGCTGTTCTAATACTGTATTGTCATGCAAAGAAAGATCACCCATTAAATGGTCAAATATTCAACTAGTGTTAATCTTATTGATAAAGAAAATTGTTCTTATCTTGACAATAAACTGACTACATGGAGTGGCAATATTTATGACTGTTTTTTGTGCATAAATAACAGTTTTCTGACTGATCAGCTATGCATTCCAGATTAATTTGGGAAAGACTGACATTTAACCTGAACCTTTCCCCATCTGTTTTACACACAACCTCCTTCCCTCAGACCATACCCACCATACCAATTTGAGAACAACTCCTTATTTTAACTTGAACAGCTCTTCATATTCACTAGGACAAGTATATATCCACATCTAGGAAATTCTGCAGGAACTTAGTGGTCACATGCCTTTACCTCCTGTGAGCTGAGTGCCTAAGACTATCTCTTGTGTTGTGGAAGAAGTAAGTGAGGTCCAGATAGACAAAAGTGCTCAACTCAAAGATATTGAATATAGCCCAAGATGGAGAGCTTGTAGTAGTAAGTACCTTGAATAACATCAGAGCTCCCCATCTGCAGGTGGGCATAGAAACAGCAAACTTTATGGAGACAACAGGGAGGTCAGAGCCCCTAAAAATGAATAAGGTGTAAACAGACTGCCTGATGCCTTTTACCTGGCAACTAAAAGGTTCACACAGCATGCTCACATCATCCAAGTGGGGGCTTATTATATTAGCTCTACTGGCTATCACAGATAAATGAATACTGAATGTATTAAGTGCTACAGCAGCTAATGCACCTTAAAATTAGGCAACAGCCCCTGCTGCCAAGACAGATTAGGTTCTGCATGGGCTCCAGGAAGCCCAATGAGTCCAAAGTCAACATCTGATAAAAAGAAAAAACCTGAAGTGTCCTATGCCTGACACTAAGGCAATAGCAAACATCCCTGCTAGATTCTTAACTATCATGTGGTATAAAGAATACATCTTTAGCCTTCCAGTTGTCAGTGCAGTACAACTATCTTAACTTCACAAACAGCCTGAAGGTTAGGGCAGTTGACTAACCTATTGCCAAGGAACACAGGCTTGAGAGCTTAAGAGTTACCTAGGAAAAAAGACTCAAGCACAACTTTGATGGTCAATGGGAATTACAGCCTGCAGCTCCACTGCTCTTGATGAAGAGATAGCAAGTAATTCTGGCTGAATGCAAGCCCTGGCCTACTCTCACAAATACAGCTCAGCCTTCTTGCTGAAGAAGAATGGGAGACCAGGACACATCTTTAAAAAAAAAAAAAACAAAAACACTTACTATAATAGGTCAGCCTTGACAGGTTTTGCAATTTTTTTTTTAACTTGATCTGTAAATTCTACCTATGCTGATTTGTGCTAGGGAATGCAGTACTAAACTATTAAGTTTGATGATCCATGCAATAAAACCTCCTAGCCACCAACTTATTGTAAGGTTGCTATGTGATGAATTAATGCACAAGATGTCACACTAAGTTCCCAGTTCTAGTCAGCTGAGTTCAACAGTGTGACAGCAGGAATCTTTTGTAATTTATGAAGCTTGTGTCTGCCTCACTTTCCCTTTGTGCTTTTGATTGCTACTCAAGAGGAGCAAAAGGTAAACACTGCTCTTGGAGTGAGAGACATGAGGTGTTGGTGTCACCAATGGTCATTAAAGAACTTGGTGAAACCAACCCATATCAACTGAGAATCAAACAAACAAGGCAAACCCCAAAGACTAACAATCAACACTTAACTCTGGAAGGCAGATGCAAATACTCAGTGCATTGTGCCCTAAAGGGCTGCAGGAGCCTTGTACTGTACAAGTCTGTCTAGATTTGTCACAGGGAACTAAAGAAAGACAGGTATTGCTAGTGCCCCAAGACCTCATTCAGTCAGAGAGCAGGGGCCTGACCCTTTGGAATGGTGTGGGTCCTTGGGCACTCCCAGGGGACTGGTTACCGGTGGGGAATAGACCGGATGCTGGATCTTGTGACAAACAGCACCAAAGAGGTTTTTGTGGACTTAGAAATTGAAAAAAGCTTCAACCTGAAGTCATCTAGACAATGAAACCAATTGACAGCAGGTAACATACCAACCTTGCTAAGGTTGTTTGGACCCCTCTTCCCCACCCTCATTTCAAGTTTTAGCAGAAAATAGTTCTCACTATATTACTTCTGAGCCAGGCAAGCGAGGCATCTTGAATATGGAATCCTAGGAATGTTCTTCTAATGCCATTAAAACTATAGTTTTGGTACCTCTCAGAGATTAGCATGAGAACAGTGTGCTGGCACCTCCAAACCTGAGCAGAATAAGATGGCTACATTACATGGTACAAATCAGCTATTACTGCAAAACATGCTTTTTGGATTAAGATGGGTTATGGTGAACTATTTGCACTGAGAACTTCTTTCAAAGAGGACAGACTGCTGGAAATTAGCGATCTCCTGCTGTACAAAGCAGGTCAATACTAGTGAGAATAGCCATCTAGTTTTAGGGGAGTACTTCAGAGGGATTGAGGGGGGAATAACTTAATATCTAGCATTTGATCCAGCAGACCACCACATTACCACCTAGCCATCCATCCCCAGAAGCAATACAGCTATATATTATGCAAGCTGCCTAGTTTCACACACTGGACAGCAGTCTCTGTAAGTGAAGAATTTACATTTTATTGTACTCATTTACAGTCTGAAGTGACAATTTTTGGATACATATTTAGCTACCTTGATTAGTTTCCATAAGTAGAAAAAGTTACAGGCTATATGTAAACAGTCAACATTAACTGTTCACAGTGTTCGATCAGCGTAGCTTGGTAATACTTTCTTCCAGCGTCTCTTTGTTTGCTCCAGAGAATTCGTGCACCTGTAACAAGAATTTGTTTTAAGTATAGCCATTTAAAAAACAGTGATTTTAGCCCAAACAGTTTTATAATCCTTGGAAAGATACTGGCAATTTTAGTCCCATACTATAATAGGTGGCCAGCATTGGAGGTTTGAAGTATTGTTTTGCTTTCCAGATTTTGTATTCTGCAGCTCTGCATCCTAAAGTATTTCACACACTTTGGGCCAGACCCTAATATATTGTTCTCCAGTCTTACACACAGTTTTACAGATTTCATATGAACCAGCTACACATCCCAGGCCAATCTTGGCTTTCAAAATATTAAGTTTTATAGAATTAAACTTCTTACCAAAATCTTGCATATTATCCACAAGAAGTCAAACTATTCAGTTAGACTCTGGATGCAAGACCATGTCTTTTCACCTACTGCACTAAGGGGTTGACACCACTTCACATCCAGATGAATTAACTTTAGATAAGTAACACTTTGAAAACGTGTTCACAAATCTAACTCAGCTGGAGAACAAGGAACAAACTCAGCAACAAAAGGATATATTTAGTTTTAAAGACAAAGTTACTAGAGATTCTAGAAGATAAGAGTCTTATCTACAAGACATAGTAACCACCTACTCAATCTACCTAACATTTGAGGCATATTTAGTTTTTGAAAGCCACAGCTCCCACCCCCGGAAGGCCCTTCCTAAAATGAAGGAAATTTGAGCAATGGGCCTGCAAGTCTGGTTATACGCTAGCCCACAATGAAGATGTCAGTCAGTATGAAGGACCTGTTTTGTATCAGAGCACAGCCATCCATCCAATTATTTCATAACTAAGTGCTTTTGGAGAACAGCCAGCCAGATGAGGTTACTAACTCAGATATTCCAACCAGCAGCTCACCTCTAGGTTGAGAGAAAGCATGAGAAGTCTTGCCCAAGTTCTCTTTATTATAGCACCTGGAGTTTAGACTTAAGCATCAGCTCTGACATAATTGACAGAAATTACAATTTCGTTATTGTGCAGAAGTATTGAATGTTACTTTAGCCTTTCTATATAGCTGAAGAATAAACACATCTATATAGATAGATTAGTTTGCTTGTTTTTTGAAAAAGTTATGAATTTAGTTATGATGGGTCCAAAAAAGATAGGAATAGTAATTAAAATTAAGTCCAGATGGCCTTCAGCTGGGATAGGTGCATAAAGCAGGTTTCAGACATTAGGTTCTGAAGAGAGAGGCTCAAAGTCTGGGTCAAAACTTCACATTAGGATTTACATGGAATACAAACTTAGAGTGTTGCCAGAACTTGCTACATGCAGTTAGATCATTCAGAAGTAGTTTCTAACATTAGTGACCTATTGCTGTAGGCTAGGCATTATCCTGCTCTTTGGGTGCCAATATGAACTTCCTTGTTTCTGAGGCTACTCTAAAGCCAAGTGTGCTCTAAGTGAGAGTGTAAGTGAACTATATTGCTCAGAAGGTAAATTGAGACGCAAGCTATGTGAGATCTTCACAAGGAGCCACTTCTCCAGAGACAGAGTCAGGATTTGGCTAACTATTGTGTGGGGTCACTTGCCCCAGTGTCCTATTTTTCCCCTAGAATAAACTTCCAGCAGCTCTGAGTTAAATCTCATTAGCATGTTTTTTCTGACCCCATACATGTAGTTTTAATTCATATTTACTGTTTCAGCATCCAGTATCCTCCCCGCCCCACCCCTATACACTTTCACTAAGAAAGTTGAAAACCTACCTTTTTGCCCTGCTTGTAAAATTGGAATGTTGGCATGCACTTGACTGAACACTCTGAAGCAATGTCCTAAAAAAAAAAAGTTTCACTGCAATTTTAGCTTGGCAAATTAAACATACAAATCTAATTTCTGGTTAGTTAACAGATTACAGAAAATGAAAGGAAACCAAGTAATTATTTGCTACTCTGGTCAGTTTAAGACTAGTCAGTTATGTGGATATACTATAGTCTTCCTGTTTTGGATTTACAACTACTACTCCTGCAGAAAGTAGTACAATACTAGAGAAAGCCAACTTTCTTCCATATCATGCCTTATTTATAAGGTAATTTTACAGCTGAATGTCTGCCTAATGAGTTTGTTAAACAAGCCTCTACTAGTCAGCCAGGTTTGCAGTCTGATGTTGTTACTTCCACCTGTTCTGAACCTGTATCAGAAAGGCTCATGAAGATATTCCAATTAGAAGTATTTATCATTCATTACAAAAGGACAAGTACTTTTAAGCAATGAGTAGCATTCCTGCTGTTTATTACCACTCAAGAAGAGTTTATCACTAGCACAGAATAGCTTCAGGTGAGATGCATCAGCTGTAACAGATCAGATATCTAATCAAAGGTTGTTTAGGTTATCTAACTGAAAGATTGGGGGAGAAGGGGAAGGGGGGGAGTGAAATTTAGATCAGCTACACCCCCTGCAGAGAGCATGGCCTATGCTATTCAAGATGTCTTCCTGTGCTCCTACTGTGAAGGTAAATACATAAGTAGGTAGTTTTCCCCTCTATAATATTAGGAAACTATGGGAGCTGAGTGCAAGATCACCACCGGTTCTAAACAAGATCTGCGGGCAAGCTAGCAATACTGCCAATACACAGACAAGCCTACAGCGTAAGTACTTCAGAAGGCAACAGATGTTGTACCACTTATATAAGGGCCAAGGGGAAGCTCTGAGCAGTTATCAGATCACCTTGTCTGACCTCCTGTATGTTGTAGGCCATCCCCTGCACACTACACCCAACAACTGAAATTTGACCAAAGTATTACAACCCACAGGAGACTAGACTTATGTGCCACAAGCAACAAAAGCAAGGATCAAGGTGCCCCTGTGCCCAAGGCCCCCACAATGGCATGGCAGTGACTGTGCAATATACCGTAGTTCTGGCAACTGACCTGCATCCACATGCTGCAAAGGAAGACAACCCCCTTCCCCTCCCATCCCATCCAGGTCACCGCTAATTTGACCAGGTGGAAAATTCCTTCCCAACTCCACACATGGCAATCAGTTACACCCGAAGCATGTGAGCAACAACCAGCTAGCCAGGCACCAGAGACTGCACAGTGATACCACCTCAGAGCCCTGTCCCTCACCATCTAATGTCCCATCTGTAGCAATGGTCACCCCAATGCTTCAGAGGAAGGATATTAAAAATCCAGAATACAACAGATGGGGGTGTAACAGTGCAAGAGAATCCCTAACTGACTGTTATAGATAGCCAGCTGAAACATGAGCTTTTAGGAACGTAAGAAGTCTCCTGAAAGGATCTCAGCTTCATTAGAAGAACTGAAAACAAACTCAAGTTTACACTTTAATATGGCTTGATTCCAAATATTAGAGAAATCTCCCTATTAACATTGAGACTTTAAAATTGATATTTTAATCTAGTTTGAATGTTTATCAAATTTGTTATTCACATACACTGAGGACAACAGGAGCTTTGGATATGCAAGGAGTACAGGATCAAGATCACTTTAGCAATCAGACCGATCTCTTGTCAATTAGTGTTCGCTAGGAATTAAAGTAAGATAGTAATTCAACATTTCTCCAACAGGGGGACTAAAATACCCCCTTTAGAAATAACAATTAATCCCTAGTTTCTTGCTCTAGGTAACTACTGTTGCAGGGACTGACCCATTTTGAGAGCAAAGTCCACCTCAAGTTTTAGGAGTCAAGTTTCCCAGTATTAGATTGCATGGCAAAGTTAACCTTTACTGCCAATTCTGCCACAGTGCACCAACAAGTAATACTGTTTATTTGAGGACCTTACCTGAGCATCATCCACATCAACCTCAAGAAACACTATGTCTGGGAACCTCTCACAAAGACTCTAAAGTTTTAAAACAAAAAAAAATTGTTAAAATTGCAGTTTATTTCACATAAACCTTGTTTAAGAGCGCTCTAGGATAGTCTTCTATAAGAGCCTCTATTTGGGGAAAAACAAATCTTACCAGTTAGTATCTTTTACTAAAAAGTAAAAGTTTCATTTGCTATAGAGCAATGATGTCACTAGCTGGAGCGTCAAGAGTTCACTGACATGTACCATAGAAGTCATTACATTTTAGTTTCAAATGCTTTTTACTGAGATCTTTTATTAGGAAATTAGGGCAACCACAAAGTCATGTGACAGATGTGTCTCTAGGACTATATTTGCATGTGCCTAAGCCATAATAATTAAGTTTTAAAACCATTAAGCAAGTTGCAAGTCAGCTGAAGAATAAGATTTACAGAGTGATACATGCACTCTCTTCCTTGAAATGAATCTCAAACGTGTATTCCTTTTTACTAGCTTTAAAGATTGTAATGTCTCTCTTGACTGAAGAAAACTGATGATTTGTGAAAGTTTGACTCAATTCCTCAAGAGAATTAGAACAAAGTTTTAATAGAGCTGAGACTTTGGAGAGTCACAGGTGAAGTATGTTCATTCATCAAAAAGGTTTACTCTTGATAAAATAAGCAGATACAGTAAAACCTCAGTTACAAACTGACCAGTCAAGCACACACCTCATTTGGAGCCAGAAGTATGCTATCAGGCAGCAGACACAAAAAGCAAACAGTACTGTACGGTGTTAAACTACTAAAAAAGGGAAAGCAACACTTTTCTGCAGAGTAAAGTTTCAAAGCTGTATTAAGTAAATGTTCTGTTTTAAATTTTTAAAAGAACCACCATAATGTTTTGGTCAGATTACGAACAACCTCCATTCTGGAAGTGTTCATAACTGAGGATCTACTGTACCAGGAAATTAGTACAATTTCCCAGCTACACATTTGTAATAGTTTACAGCCACATTTTACACTAATGAATCATGATTTCTAGTTTTCACTGATGGCTATTCAGAGTTGCATGCAGGGTTACAGTTCTTCACTTTTCTAGTTTGGGTCATAAGTGTTAATATCATTTCAGCCTATTCTGTCATTTTGATTGTTAGAATGACATTTGAGATTTAGACTTCAAAATCATTTGACAAGGCTGTCTTTTATGGCACCAGAGACTGATTTTATTTCAATTTTCTTGACCTTGTCAGTTTGTTATGATCCCCACAATAAGTGGTGAAGAGCATTTCACTCTTTTGGAGGGAGAATGCTTTAAAGAGAGTGGTGAAGAATTGTTTGGACAATATTAGAAATATCATTGTTTTGGTTACAGAGTAACAGCCGTGTTCGTCTGTATTCGCAAAAAGAAAAGGAGTACTTGTGGCACCTTAGAGACTAACCAATTTATTTGAGCATGAACTTTCGTGAGCTACAGCTCACTTCGTCAGATGCATACCGTGGAAACTGCAGCAGACTTTACACACACACAGAGAATATGAAACAATACCTCCTCCCACCCCACTCTAAGGTACCACAAGTACTCCTTTTCTTTTTGTTTTGGTTAGTCACACATAGATCACAATTGATGTTTTCTTGCAAGTCTTCCCCCATGAGTATCAACTAACATAAGACAGTTCAGACATCTATAGTGACCTAGTTTTATAATAAGATATCCTTGCACTAGTCAAGTCTCAGCTGTAAAAACTAGCAGAGTATTGAGTTTGGAATTGTTACTTACATGATAAAAAGGCTTGATAATGTTGCATGGTCCACACCATTTGGCTGAGAAGTCAACAACTACAAGCTTATCACCAGCAGATTTCAATTCAGACTTAAATTCTTCCTGTAGAGAGAAGAGATTCAGCACCAAGTTTTATTTTTGCAAGTGTGCTCTAATCTTGTTTTTGAAGTTCATATTCCATTTCCAGACTGGATATTCTGGTGGCTCAATCCTAATGGCCAGTGTTGCATACCAAGACTTTCTTTAGAATCAGTGAATTTTTAATACACTAGCATGAGTCCAAAACAAGGTCTCCCACACCAACCCAAAAGCTATTACAGTAACCTTATTACTTTTTCAGCAATAGAAAAAGTTCTCATGTAGAAATTACCCACCAAGTTGCAGAAGCACATTTGTTGTACTAGCTGGCCCAAAGCCAAACAAAAGAAATACTACTTGAGTCTAGATTTTTTTTTTTTTTTAAGTTTGCATTAAAAAGAAACTGGGCATGCAAGTAAGGCAAGAGTGAAGGAAAGAGAGTGTGCTGAGCTCTAATCAAATACTTGCTCTAACTAGTGAAGCAGGTGCTTCTGACTGCTGGTGTTCTGGTATGTTTGATGCATGAGGGTCTCTTATTAGACTGGTTATCATTCTAATCAGATAGAAACACACAGCTTCTCCTTATATACAAACATTTGTTTCCAGTCAACTGTTTCTGAAAATGCCATTTTAACTGCAGTCAGTCAAGTCTGTCCAGTTCTTCCATCCTACATTTTAGAACTTTTACCCTTAAATACCACCAAAGCAGTAGGTTTTGATGCAAAGCAGGTGACTTATGCCCATAACTATCAAACCCTACCTTTTGTTTGTTAAAAACTGCACAATCATTTAGACTCCACCAGGAAAACAATTTTCTTCATGTTCCTGCACCAACAGCCAAGTCTTCTATAAGTTCAGCAAAGGATGGAACCACTCTATTTAAGCAGCTTACATGTGCAGCAGATATAGCTAGAGCTGTGAGACTCCTCTAGTAAAACCTGAAACACCATCTACATTTGTGAAAGTGGGCTAGTTTTGAGCCAACACCACTCCAAGGACTCTGGGAAGCAGATTTATATTTTGTACCAAGACTGAGGTGTTACCTGAATTTCACTGAAACCATCTGGCTTAAATTTGAGCACAAGACTCAAAGGGTACAATCCCACACAACATTTAAATGAATGCAATTAAAAGCTCACTAGGTTTGCTTAGCTCTAGATCAAGCCACTTTAAGGTATTTTAAAAGACTGCTGCATTCCTTCGGTATGTTATCATTCAGAAATTTAGCCAGATGGGTGACAAAAGCAGCCCAACTTGTATGCTACAGATAAAACTGAGAGACGAACAGAACATGTACCATTTTACTGTTGGCTGAACATTATCCACAAGTAAATTCTGCTATGCAATTTGCTGTATTGTAGAATGCAGAGACTGTCATCTGTACAAATTGGATTTAGTTGTGTTGCTACAGCCTGGATTTCAAGGTAGCCATGTCACATGAATTTGTAGTCCTTAGAAATACAGTGACACTAATAATTACAATTAAATTGTATAATATAAAACTCATTTATTCCTGACTATTTGTGGCCATGTACAAGATGTGCCATTTTAACAATTCTTGGAAGTTAAGGGATCAAAGAAACCAATTCAGTTTTTGAAGGAACCAGCATTACACTTTAGATAACCTGGGAAGCTATAAGGCAACAGCACTAAAATACTGGTTCAGAGACCACATTAACCTACCTGGCCACCAATAACTACCCCGACATGCGATTCAGACATTTAGTCATGTTCTCTACTTCACTGCATCCATAAAGCCAATGGAATTCACTAGGGTGGGACCAGTGGGTATGATCTGCTTCAGTTTTATGCTGAAGACTACCTTGGGAAACCCAGTTTTCGGTTACATGAAGAAACTAGGACCCAATTCAATACCAGAATAATTTTTATTTAACAGCTTAAGTTTTAAACTAAGAGGACACAATCACAGCAGCTTTGCCTACACATGGCTAGCTCTCTAGAAACACTATGTTGTGACAAGCAAAGTACTTAAGTCCACTAGTAAAGTGACGTGGTTTATTGTCAACATTGGGTCCCCCTTTTATTCCACTTCACAAAGTACTGGGCAAACTACTTGCCCAGATGAACACGAACCATTCTTGACCTAATGTTCCCCCCAAGAAGGGAATCTGCATGCTTCCTATAATTGTCACACTAGCAGCCAAGCTCATCAACAGATGACACCAAACTTGTATTCATCAGAGTCACCTTTACAGTGTAGGCAAAAAAATATACCTTCAAATCAGCAGCACTGCTATGGGTACCAGCATGGCCCCACACTATGCCAACATTTTTATGGCTGACTTAGAACAACGCCCCCTCAGCTCTCGTCCCCCAACGCCCCTTCTCTATCTGCACTATATTGATGACATCATCTGGACCCATGGAAAAGAAGCCCTTGAGGAATTCCACCATGATTTCAACAATTTCCATCCCACCATCAACCTCAGCCTGGTCCAGTCCATACAAGAAATCCACTTCCTGGACACTACAGTGCTAATAAACGATGGTCACACAACCACCACCCTATACTGGAAACCTACTGACCGCTATTCCTACCTACATGCCTCCAGCTTTCACTCTGACCACACCACACGATCCATCGTCTACAGCCAAGCTCTGCGATACAACTGCATTTGCTCCAACCCCTCAGACAAAGACAAACACCTACAAGATCTCTATCAAGCATTCTTACAACTACAATACCCACCTGCGGAAGTGAAAAAACAGATTGATAGAGCCAGAAGAGTTCCCAGAAGTCACCTACTACAGGACAGGACTAACAAAGAAAATAACAGAACGCCACTAGCCGTCACCTTCAGCCCCCAACTAAAACCTCTCCAACGCATTATCAACGATCTACAACCTATCCTGAAGGACGACCCAACACTCACAAATCTTGGGAGACAGGCCAGTCCTTGCCTACAGACAGCCCCCCAACCTGAAGTGAATACTCACCAGCAACTACATACCACACAACAGAACCACTAACCCAGGAACCTATCCTTGCAACAAAGCCTGTTGCCAACTGTACCCAGGGGACACCATCACAGGGCCTAATAACATCAGCCACACTATCAGAGGCTTGTTCACCTGCCCATCTACCAACGTGATATATGCCATCATGTGCCAGCAATGCCCCTCTGCCATGTACATTAGTCAAACTGGACAGTCTCTATGTAAAAGAATAAATGGACACAAATCAGATGTCAAGAATTATAACATTCAAAAACCAGTCAGAGACCACTTCAAGCTCTCTGGTCACGTGATTACAGACATGAAAGTTGCGATATTACAACAGAAAAACTTCAAATCCAGACTCCAGCAAGAGACTGCTGAATTGGAATTCATTTGCAAATTGGATACAGTTAACTTAGGCTTGAATAGAGACTGGGAGTGGCTAAGTCATTATGCAAGGTAACCTATTTCCCCTTGTTTTCCTAACTACCCCCCTCCCTTCCTCAGACGTTCTTGTTAAACCCTGGTTTTGTGCTGGAAATGGCCCACCTTGATCATCATACACATTGTAAGGAGAGATTTCAGAGTAACAGCCGTGCTAGTCTGTATTCGCAAAAACAAAAAGGAGGACTTGTGGCACCTTAGAGACTAACCAATTTATTTGAGCATGAGCTTTCGTGAGCTACAGCTCACTTTTGTGAGCTGTAGCTCACGAAAGCTCATGCTCAAATAAATTGGTTAGTCTCTAAGGTGCCACAAGTCCTCCTTTTTGTTTTGACAAAATACGAGTGCCTTGACCTCATCAAGGCCACCAAAACGCTACCCCTGCCAGTGGCAAGTCAGGAGCTATACTTCCACAGCGCAGGGCGTGCCCGACCTGAGTGTCTGCTGAAGTGGTTTGTAATGAACTTCATGCAGCGCCCACCTGGACGGTGCGCCGACAGCGCCAACCCGAACCGCAGGGGCCTACAGTTCACCCTGCAGCCGCCCGCTCCGGCCAACGTGACTGAGTGGCAGCTAGGAGCAGCAGCAGCGCCATGCAAGGGGACCACTCGAACGGCCAGTAACCGGGGGGGGGGGGAAGGGATTCCACACCCACGCGACAAGGGGGCCCGCCGGAGCGGGGGGGGGGAATGGATCCCCTCCCCCGCGCAGACCGGCCGCCGGCTCAGCCGGAGGCTCCTCAGGAGAGCAGCTCCCCAAGGCCTGGCGCAGAGTCCCTGCTACCCGCAGCAATGCGGCGGCCGTGCAACGCGGCCCAGGCCCCGAGGACACCGCCGCCCCAGAGGCAAGGCGGGGGAAGAAGAACCGCCCCGGCCCCAGCCAGCCGGCCGCCCCCCCTCAGCGCCCCCTTAGGGCGCGGGCACGAGGCGGGGCTGCGCCCGCGCGCGTTCCCGCGAGCACGGAACAGCCCCGAGCCCCCAGCGGCTCTGGGCAGCAGGGAGAGCGCGGCGGGCGGGCGGGCGGGCGGCGCACAGCCCTGCCCGCCCCCGAGACACTGGCGAAGGGCGCCCCGCCGCTAACAGCCGCTCACCAGGTTCTCCACGATCTTCACCATCTTTGCCGCTTGGCTTGCGCTCACGGGACACTGCTTCGCTGAGACTTGGCCCGCCGGCGCCTGTGGGATGGTATGGCCGCCCTCCTGCTTATATAGAGGCCAACCCCCCCCCGACCTCAGTGCGCACGCGCGGTTCGCGCCCCGCCCCTCCTTTTCCAAGAAGAGGCGGGTGTGTGCGAACGGCTGACGCAGCGGAGCTCGTGTTCGCCGGTGTCCGTTCCCTCCCCCTCAGCTGGGCGCGCGCTGAGTGGCGCGGGTTAGCCACCCCCCCCCCCCCCCCGCTCGCTGGGCGGCGGGTCTCCGCTGAGCTGTCAGGCGGCTGAGGCGGGGGGATCCTCCTGAGGAATCCCCACACCGCGCCTCCCGTCCCGCAGCGAGAGGGCGGCTGCGGACACTGGCTCCCCCGCAGAGCAGGTGTCACCCCCCCAGGCCCCAAAGGAGAGAGGTCTCCTGCCTCGGCCTGGGAGCGACACAGGGCAGCGCCGAAGCCAGCCACCTCCCTGCCTTGGGCGGCGCCGCACCGAGTGTTTTTTTGGGCAGGGCCAAATCTGCAAGCGAGGCCCCCACTCTTCCAAAAAATTGCAGCGGGGAGGCCCCACGGGAGTGGGGGCAGGAGAGTGAGCGTGGCCTGCCCTCAGCCCACAGTGGCTGCTCCTGCCCCAGTTCCCCCCCTCCTGGCAGGGTGAGGTGGGGTCACAGAGCCAGTAGCTCAGATTTGGCCTAGCCGCCCCTCTCTTGTGACAGCGGGGCGGCAGGGCCAAAGCTGAGTGGCCCTGGAACTCCGCACACCAGGTCACAATGCCCTAGGCTGCTCTTGCGATTGCTAACCTGGGCGCAGGCACGTCCCCCTCCCCCGAAATAATAGGGCTGCCTAGGGGCAAGTATTAAATGAGGTAATGGAATAAAATGTGTGAGATGTGTTGAAAACCGAATCACGGCCAGTGAGATGAAAGCCTCCAAATCCACAAAGGGCACTAAAACTCGTATATTAAATAATAATAATAATAAAAAAAAGCAAGGATTTCGCAGGAAATTTCAATTTGTTGGTAGAAAATTCAAATACTGAACAGTTTTGGTTTTCACCTGGAATATTTTGGTTGAAAGACTCACAGTTTTTCAACTAAAATTTTCTGAGGAAGGCAGTTTTTATGTATTCATATTTATCTATATAAATGAAAACACAATACACCAGAAACCTACAGCTAAAAAAAGAATTAGAGAAATACAAAACACATACATTCAAAATGTACAAATTAAAAATTGTGGTGATGTGCTTTGCCGTGTGCTTGCAGCAATAAAGCAAAAAAGAACCCTGAGGTCTGGGTGAAGATGCTTCGTGTAATAATGCAAATGCATTTTGTCTTTGGGGAAATTGAAAACAGATGTTAAGAAATAAAAGGGTGTTTTTCTTTTTTTAATTATGGAAAATAAAAAAAGATTATGTGGACGGAAATATTTCCTATACGTGTTTGTTTCTCTGGAATTAAAGTGGGCCTCTTTTGTGTCACCTGGGAGAAAAAGAGAGAGCAGTAGGTAGTGGAATTTTTGGCATTAAAGCAACTTTTGATCAAACAGCGAGAGATGCTTGTATGCAGCATTAGTCACAGCAACATGCTGAGGGCGGGCCTACGTTTCCTTACATAGCTCATGGCTCTCAGTGACTGCTAAAAGCTCAGTGACTTCGGAAAAAACTGCTGTGTAATGATGACCAGGAAGTATTTCAGATGCACAGGCCGTACTCAGAAGTCATATGCTTTCCTTCCCTCACTCCTTGCTCACTGGTCATTGTTGATGTTGCTGCTTGTGCCTAGCACTATTTACAGCTCATATTACTGGAAAAAGTCCAGCCAGTCTGCATTGTTTAAGTAGTTTTAGTCGACTCTGTATGATTTATTGTTTTTCTGAGAGCCTGCAAGTTGCCATGAAGTTTTCTCTTCTTTTGGTTTCAGAAGGAGAAATCAGGGGTGTTACTGAGTTCCCAAGTCAGTGTTGGACCACAGACTTCCTACAATTATGAAATCTCAAGTAGTCACTTGTATTGCTTAAATTAAACTACCCCTGGTGTCAAGGTTCCTTCCCCACTCTGAACTCAAGGGTACAGATGTGGGGACCTACATGAAAGGCCCCCTAAGCTTATTTTTACCAGCTTAGGTTAAAAACTTCCTCAAGGTACAAACTTTGCCTTATCCTTGAACCGCATGCTGCCACCACCAAGCATCTTACACAAAGACCAGGGAAAGAGCCTACTTGGAGATGTTTTCCCCCAAAATATCCCCCCAAGCCCTATACCCCTTTTCCTGGGGAAGGCTTGATAAGAATCCTCACCAATTTGTACAGGTGAACACAGACCCAAACCCTTGGACTTAAGAACAATGAAAAACCAAATAGATTCTTAAAAGAAGAATTTTAATTAAAGAAAAGATAAAAGAATCACCTCTGTAAAATCAGGATGGTAAATACCTTACAGGGTAATCAGATTCAAAACATAGAGAATCCCTCTAGGCAAAACCTTAAGTTACAAAAAGACACAAAAGCAGGAATATACATTCCATTCAGCACAGCTTATTTTACCAGCCATTAAACAAAAGGAAATCGAACACATTTCTAGCTAGATTACTTACTAACTAACAGGTATAAGGCTGTATTTCTGATCTGTTCCTGGCAAAAGCATCACACAGACAGGCGAACCCTTTGTTCCCCCCACCCCTCCAGATTTGAAAGTATCTTGTTTCCTCATTGGTCATTTTGGTCAGGTGCCAGCAAGGTTATCTTAGCTTCTTAACCCTTTACAGGTGAAAGGGTCTTGCCTCTGGCCAGGAGGGATTTTATAGCACTGTATACAGAAAAGTGGTTACCCTTCCCTTTATATTTGTGCCACCTGGTTATACCTTTAAAATAATAATAATGATGCAGTAAACACCCTTAAAAAAGTTCCACCAGTTTGAAAGAGTCTACTGGGTTCAAAAATATTTCTCATATTTAAAATGGACAATCCCATTAAAATCTTTCAAACTGCATGGAACTTTTAAAATAACATTTTATAGTGTATTTTGGGTTTTGGTGTATTCTGAGTCTTCTTATTTTTAGAGGGGTGTATTTTGGGGCTCATTGCTTGTGTTTCGGTGTTTGCTGCACGCTTTAAAATCCTGGAATGAATTAAGTTGAGTGATTTTAAAATGTGACTCAGTAGTTGTGCAAATTGTCTTTTCACTCTAGATACTATGGTTATTGGGTGTCCCTATAATTGTAGACAGATTATCAAGATGAATAGATTTCCAGGTCCTTTGCACTCAGATGACATAAATATTTGTACCCTATAAAATATACAAATTGGTGGAGCTCAAGCCAAAGGGAATACAAAATGTTAAATTGATTGTTAATGAGAAAAATAAGAACAATTTTAACTGGCAAACAGATAAATGTTTGACTGTAAAGATAAAATATTTCTAACTCCTAATAGACCCTTTCTTTTTGTTCCGGTAGAAACGGGTATCCCCTTTCACCAAGCTTTAGAGGAAATTCCTGGTTCTTTATCAGATGGGTTCACAGTTATTGTACTGCTTAGTTACACACCTTCTTTCCGGCAACAGATGTCCGTTTATTATTTCATTTCCATAGGCTGTCCTTGTGTCTTTAAAGGATTTTCACCATGTACCAAGCTCCCAGGTGATTTATCCTGCCTGGGAGATGCTGCACAGTCTTTATGGTGTGCTTTTATTGCCCTTTGCTTATTCGTCTCCTTTTGTGAAGAGGATCATTATCTCTCTCATACAATGTTCTATCAGGCCATTGTATATTTTAGAGAGAATGCGCTTGAGTGTTCTGCTGTTCTGAAAAGCCTCCTCTTTTGGGGAGGAACAAATAACTGTTTCTGTCTGAGCATAGCTTCAGTTAAGTGCCTAGCTTGCAGATGCATATAAAAGTCCATATGAACAGGTTGTATTTGGTCATGCTTTCTTTAGATATGCTCTTCCAGGAAGTATTGGTATTTATACAAAACACATTCGTTCCCAGTGCTTGGAAGCTTGGGGTTTTCCCATCCAGGCAGGAAGCTGGGCTTTCGGGTCAAATTCTGATCACCTTGCCATGAGTGTGAATCTGGAAGAATTCCACTGACTTCAGCGGAGTTACCCCTGTGTAAATGAATTGAAAATTTAGCTAGCTCATCAAAAACTAAGTGAGTACCTGGAAGTAACAAAAATATTTAGAGCTAGACTCGGCCACCCTTACTTACACTGAGCAGTCCTTTACTCTGCAAGGAGTCCCACTGAAATCAACAGGGCTATTCTCAGAGAAAGTACCACTCCACATAAGACTGGCAGAATCTGCCCCATTAAGTTTAGGACAGTTTACATTTTCTTCAATAATAAAGCACGGGAGCTATGTGTTTTAATCTCACTTAGCTTGGTGTAAATCAGGAGTAACACATCAGTATTAAAGCTGGTGTGAGATCAAACATGCCCTGTAACTTTATGAGCTAATGTAAAGAAGCTTCAAGCACCAATTAGATAAAAACATTCTTCTCTGAGGGCTCAATACCATACAGAGTAGAATTCTGTTAAATATGCCTTACATATTAGAGATGGGCCTGAGACTTCCATTCATTTAGATCTAGATCCAGACTGGAATGTCTCCAAAGTTCTGGGGTCTTTTTTACAGGGTTCTGGCACAGTTCCTTCTCTAGTACATAAAGAGGGAAAGGATGGTATACCACAAATAAGTCTACTGTACAGGCATTAAAAAATGTGGCACTGCTTTTGATTGCGGACTAAAATCTTGGGCAGCCGAAATTTTTTTTTGACCAATACCATAAACAATACAGCACCCAACATGCAGTTTCAAAGTGCTCTGTGACTAATGCCATTCAAACGTCTTAATAACAGCTGATCTGCATGGCAAACACTTATTTGCCTAATGCCTTTTGGCACGCTGTTCAAATTGAATGACGTTCCCCTCCGACGGTGAGGGACTGAACATAGACAGAGTGCTTTGTGGAGTTTCTCAGAAGTAGCATTGTAACAGACCGGGGCTCATCTAGGGAAGATCTAACTATTGTTCTTTCTGTGCTACATCACATTCAGAGCATAGACCCATAAAAATGAACTCCTTTGCCCCTGAATGCTGGAA